GATGGTTGGTTGCTGTTGAAATGGCTGCTAACTTACCACTCTGCTAATAGCATAAACTGAGTTGTCACGGTGATATTGCTAGTAGCCATTTTAGTAAAGGAGGTAACAACATGAAGGTACTTTGAAAGCTGCAGAAGCTAAAGTGCTCTTAATCACTGCTGGCATCAATAGGTAAACTGTTGTTTTTGTTTGTTTGTTAGAAGGAGTTTTGCTCTTGTTGCCTAGGCTCAAGTGCAATGGCACGATGTTGGCTCACCACAACCTCCGCTTCCTGGGTTCAAGCGATTCTCCTGACGCATCCTCCCAAATAGCTGGGATTACAGGCATGTGCCACCACACCTGGCTTATTTTCTATTTTTAGTAGAGTTGGGGTGTTACATAATATTCAGGAGACTGGATAGACCAATAGGTTAAACAGGAGGATTTTATTAAGGCGGCCACCAGCTCAGCAGATCTGCATCCCAGGGCTGAGCTCCTAACAAAGACAGGGCTTGACTTTTTGTACATCCAGGATGATGTAGCAGCTAACAGGTTTGCAGAAGCCAGACAAAGAACAGTTAATTTGTGACATGTCTTGTGATGTACGTTACATTTGAAAATAGCATTTTCAGAAACACATTGCACATTCTTCGGGTTTTATCTTACCCTGTGACTCTTTTTCTTGCAGCTGGTCTGCAAGAAAAACAGGAGTCTTGAGCTACCTGGGAACTTTACTGAGAAAGTGGGGAGAGTAGACAAGGTAGATTTTACAGGGAGTTAGTTAATTTCAAGCAGAGCTGGGGGTTAGGTTTTATATTGAACACAACACAGTAAATGTATTATGTAGCAATTACAGACTACTATTGTTATTATTTAATCTCCCTCTTCAGGGGTTTCTCCATGTTGTTTCTCCATGGGTCATGCTGGTTTTGAACTCCCGACCTCAGGTGATCCACCCACCTGAGCCTCCCAAAGTGCTGAGATTACAGGTGTGAGCCACTGTGCCCAGCTTGTAACCTGGTTTCTTGAAGGAAGCAAAATTTGTAATTATGAACACTTAGCTCCACTATAGTGGCAGTTAAATTGATCTCAAGACCTGCGGCTAATCTGGTGGGGCTCTAGCTCTAGTTCCAAGGTCAGAGAATACACAGGGAAATGTGCAGGTTTCCACAGATGTGAGCTCCAGAGGCAGTGATGACAGAGGCCAGCCCCAAGAGGATCAGTTCTACATAGTGCCATTTATGAATGCAGAAGCATCAGGAACTATGCTCTGAACAGGAGCTATGTTCGTGATCTTTGGAAATTGAAAAACATTACAACAAAGTGTTTAATGGACATTTATCTTGTCCCTCTGCTGTTGATTATTTGTAATAATCTCTTTTTGATGGTAAACTGAACCATTTAAAAATTAATGTCTATCAGATTTTTCTTCAAACTTTTCACCAACAGCTGTTAATCTTGTTAGAATATATTTTCCTTAAGAAACATTACTAATTATGAGGGAAAGGCAAATTAAAAGGCACAATGTAATACCACCTTACTCCTGCAAGAATGGCCATAATGAAAAAATTTAAAAAATCATACATGTTGATATGGATTTAGTAAAAAGGGAACACTTACACTGCTGATGGGGATGTAAACTAGTACAACCACTATGGAAAACAGTACTGCCATTCAATCCAGCAATCTGACACTGGGTATCTACCCAAAGGAAAGGAAGTCATATGAAAAAGACACATGCACATGCATGTTGATAGCAGCACAATTTGCCATTGCAAAAATGTGGAACTAGCCTCAATGCCCATCAGTTAATGGGTAGATAAAGAAAATGTGGAATGTATACACCATGAAATACTGCTGAGCCATAAAACAGAATTAAATAATAGCCTTGACAGCAACCTGGATGGAGCTGGAGGCCATTATCCTAAGTCAAGTAAGTCAGGAATGGAAAACCAAATATCGTATGTTCTCACTTATAGGTGGGAGCTAAGCCATGAGGATCCAAAGGCATAAGAATGATACAATAGGCCGGGCGAGGTGGTTCATGCCTGTAATCCCAGCACTTTGGGAGGCCAAGGTGGGCAGATCACGAGGTCAAGAGATGGAGACCATCCTGGCCAACATGGTGAAACCGTCTCTACTAAAAATACAAAAAGCTGGGCATGGTGGCACATGCCTGTGGTCCCAGGTACACAGGAGGCTGAGGTGGAAGAATCGCTTGAACCCAGGAGGCAGAGGTTGCAGTGAGCCAAGTTTGCGCCACTGCACTCCAGCCTGGCAACAGAGCAAGACAGCATCTCAAAAAAAAAAAAAAGATACAATGGCCTTTGGGGATTATGGGAGGAAGGATGGGAGGGGGTGATGGATAAAAGATTAAGATTACATATTGGGTACAGTGTACAATGCCCAAGTGGTAGGTAAACCAGAAGCTCCAATGTCACCCCTAAAGAAATTAAACATGTAACCAAAACCACCTGTACCTCAAAAACTATTGAAATAAAATTTAAAAACATTACTGATAAACAACTTATATATATACACACACACACACACACATACACCTGTAAGTTAAACTGAGCAGCTCCTATTCAGAAAATTCGCTGTGCTCGTAAAGGGTATGCTATTCAGCCATTTAAAAACTGACAAAAAGTAAGAAGATACATATCCTGTAGGGATAATCGTGTTTTTCAATAACTATTAATAAACATGATAATTTTATAAAAAACCATATTTTACACCGTTAAAATATGTTTCTGGAAAAACACAAAAGAGATTATGATGTGCATATATTCGTATAGTCAATTAAGTCCTGATCAGCTGATTATTCAAATATTATCTGATCTACATTCCCTCTACATCCCCATAGCCTTGTGGTTATATGAATAGGAAATTAATGTTGGAAGTAGTTTCAGCTGGTTTTTCAGTTAAACAAATGAGAAGACCACATATCTGCTTGTATCCTGCTTTCCATACTGGAGAACTTCAAGCATTTTTAAGTCAACAGATGTTTAGCCAGTGGATAAAACATTGTAACTTTAATACCAAGGAACCAATGTGTTGTTGAGGTACTGCTTTTATACAATTAACTCTTTATAGGAATTACTATGGGAGTGGTAAGATTACTCTGGTTTTGTATTTATTTAAGCATTTGACCAAGTACTGGATACAGTGGCTCATGTCTGTAATACCAGCACTTTGGGAGACCAAGGTGGGAGTAACCACTTGATCACAGGAGTTTAACACCAGCCTGGGCAAAAAGCGAGACCCTGTCTCCACAAAAAGAATTTTTTAAAATAGCCCAGCTAAGTGGCATGAGCCTGTAGTTCCAAGCCTTGAAGGGCTTAGATGAATGGGCCACTTGAGCCTGGGAGGTTGAGTTGGCTGTGAGCTAGGATCATGCCACTGCACGTTAGCCTGGGTAACAGAGCAAGACCCTGTCACACACACACAAAAACAAAAACAAAACCTTTGGCCAGGACAGCTGAATAATCATGCAGCAGAGGGCTGCTTCCAGCCTCTTCCCCTCTCAGTGCATTCAACTCATCCCCACAGTCTGTTCTGGCCAGGGGTGACAGATGCTGAGCACCTTGGGGTTTCATTTCTAACTCAACTCAGGAGAAACACTGTGTAAGGACAGCACCCTACCAGAAGGCATCTCATAAAATGGGTTTAGTCTAGCCAAGACGTCTCTCTCTGATCCTTCTATCATTTGAAGTGTAAAGAGTATTCCTGCCCCTTAATAGTGACAGCTAATAAATGGCATCCATCATTTCTGTCATCTGATCACTATTGCAGTGCCTTGGGAGTGAGCATGAAGTCTGATTTGTGCAATGGAACCCTGAAGAATGAGCCCGAGTCAGCTGCACAAGTGCAGAGGAGGCTGTCACCTTTCTCCTCATCCCAAACTTGGGGTGCTGAGTGCAGAATGGACTGCAAGCAGCTGTGCCCTGTTTGGACATTAGCGTGGGAACCCACCTGCATAGGCTGTATTCATTTCAAAACAAAATTTGGAGCCGTTCTAGTAGCTCAGTGTGACATTTTAAAATAAATAGATATATTTTATTAACTGACTTAACAAAAAAACACTGCCTTTTAAATGCATATAGTATTGTTTAAAGAGTATCTACAAAATTGTAACCTCAATGTTTTCTTGCAAAAGAAGCAGAATTAAGTACAGAGACCCTTTCAAATGAAGAACCACTGAGAAACAAAATATAAGTAGTATAACATTTACTTATGTACATTTTTAAAGATTATACAAGAATCAGTTTGCATCGGGCTTTCCAATTTATGAACATTAATAGGATTTCCCTCTAGGGAAAGTTTTCACATAAATGTTGAAGAAATTCTTAAAGCTGAAAACTTTTCTGTATTTTGGTATTTGAAAACTTTTCTTTATTTGTATTAATTAGTATTAATCTACTGGGATTCCAATTCAATGTGCTTTCTTATATTTATAAGGTCTGTCCACATTGTGTATTATCATGGGTCTTTGAGCAAAGATCATGGAAATGAAGGCATTTCTACATTCTGTACATACGTGGATTTTATTTCAGAAATGAGTTCTTATCCTCAGTGGAAGTGGAACAACTGCAGACCTTACCACATGCTTGTATTTATAAGGATTTTCTCCATTGATTCCTTTCATGTTTTCAAAGAAATGAAAAAGCTGAAGGCTTTACCATGTTTCTTAAGATTATGTCATTTTTCTCCATATTAAATGTGAATATGTCTTTGAAAGCACACGGGAAAATGAAGTTATTAACACACTTTTTACATTCATGTTTCTTTTCTGGTACAAGTTATTTCTAAGTTTTCAAAGAGAACTGGGAACATTGCATGCTTTCTTATATGTCTTTTCTCAATAGGGTTCTGTCCAGTGTGCCTTATTTCATGAATGCTAATAAACTAGAGCACATGATGGCTTTGCCACATTTCTTACATGAGAATAATGTTTTTGAAGATAGCCCGGTGAACTAACATCGTCCTGTGTTGGTTTTGTCGTGTTTCTCCTTCTCCAGGAACGAGTTGGAAGAGTACTTTGTGGAGCTAATTAATTATAATTTCATAGTTCCTGGAAAGGTTTATACCAGATACTACTTCTGTCTTCGTGCCTTGGCACACAAGCATGGCCTGCGTTTGCCAGTTTACCTTCTTGAGAGAGAAAGAGCATGGGAGCTGCAGGTAAGGCTGCGAAGTCACTAAGTGGGTTTTCAGTCAAACACCAATGCCGACATCTGTGACTAGGTCATATTAAGTAATGGTTAGAAAAATGGAAAGCTTCAAAATTAACTAATATACTGAAGAGCTTATTAACCTTTTGGCATTCTGTTTCCTATGTCTTTTATGGTTTTTATAAAGATTCACTTTATTTCAAAAGTATAGATATTATCTCTTTTGTGACCATAATTCAGAATGTTTTAATCAAAATTTAATTATTAATGAATTTGAACCTTTGCCTTTGCAAATAATCGCACATAAATGATTTCTTGCCATTTTATTTCTACTGAGGTCTACATACATAATGCAGTTACCCCTATTGACTACTTTTTATTACTCGGTTTGCAAATTTATGTCATTTTCTGCGGTGTATACCACAGTGCAGTCAGTCCCATGGGTTTGTTAGACAAACCATTAGTGCCTAAGCCGAGAGGCCTGCACTTAGACTGTATGAGGTTGTGCGTGTCTCAAGGACTGGATGCAGGAAGTACATGGGATTTTACTGGAAATGATAACTTTTATAGGACAAACTAATATTTGTGACTTTTGGTAAGTACACAGCAAAATTACTCACAGCTGACAAGGATGAACATTTAAAATAGACATGTTCTGTGGCAACATGGAAGTATTTTGAAATAATACATTTTTCTACCATAATTAGTGCAAGTGAAGTAGTGCCTTTTGATGCTTTAGTCATTAGACTTCGTTTACATTTCAGTACAATCCAGCACATGCCTGCCTCGTTAAAATTTGCTTTGAGTGTATGATAACTTATAGATTGGGTAGAATTTGATTACATTAATAAATTGACTTTTTGCAAAAGTGTGCGTTCATTATGTTTAAGGAGCAAGTGCATAGGTAACAGATGATACTGTTAGAAGCCTGTCACAGTACTGTGACATTTTTGGGAGCCCAATTTTTAAGTAACTTAATAAAGCAAGCTTTCCTTTGCTCCAGCAATCTAATTCTAGCCCTGAAAGGTGATTACTGTAGTGAGCTGCCAGAAGTTGGCAGTGTAAACCTCAGAGCCTCAGTAGCTGTAGCTGAACTATTGTTGGCAGTGTAAACCTCAGAGCCTCAGTAGCTGTAGCTGAACTATCTAAAGGAGTCTGCATGTGTGGCTTATCATCAGTGGTGATAGTTATAAGGTTGGAACCCTTTTTAAAATTGTACCTCTTTTCTATTTGACATTCTTAGGCTTTTTCAAGGATGGAAGGAGACGAAGTCTTCTCTACTGCCCACAAGAACAGGTCTTTGAGTGCTGATGATTTGATTCGTCTTCAGCGCTCTAAGGCCATCCTCTCCTGAAGGAAGTAATGAGGGGTAATGTAACATCCGCACCCCTCATCAAAAAAGACAGGAAGATACCACCTCTCCTGCTAAAGAAATAGTAAAGCTAGTGTTTTCAAAAGAAGAAACACCTCAATTCCAGTTAACTCAAGGACAACTAAGGCTGCACATCCTAGAAAAGAATGGGGCCTTGTCAGGGCAACAACACAGTCTTACACTCTTGTGTCCGTTTTCATGTAAACGGAGTTATAGAAACCACTCCAAAGTGAAGGCTCCTTCTGCCCACACACAGATACCAGCTTAGTGTGGGCTGATAGCTGTGAACTATGTAAGGCTTTTGTTTGTTTGATTTGAGATGAGTCTCACTCTGTTGCCAGGCTGGAGTGCAGTGGCTCGATCTCGGTTCACTGCATTCTCCACCTCCTGGGTTCAAACCGTTCTCCTGCCTCAGCCTCCCTCCTTAATTAAATTTTTTAAGTAGCTGGGATTTACAGGTACGCCTGGCCTCTGTAAGGCTTTTAAAACAATAGTTTAAATTTTTTAGATTTTAAAGATAACTTTTCAGTTTTTTTAAAAAAAATATTTCCACCCCCCAAATTGCTGCATATGCATTTGAAATCAATGCACTATTAGTATTAACACGTGTCAGAGGAGTTCATGAATAGCACAGTCTTTTCTTCCTGGGGATCCTTCCCTGCAGGGGTCCCAGCCTGCTCACAGCAGCCATAGAAGGGGCCTGTATACTGAGAGAAGCTGCAGAGCCCTGGGAAGCTGGGAATGCACAGGCAGACGTGTGAGAGTGGAGATGGGAGGTGGGTTGTGAGGTCCTCTGCAATTGTTATTGTCTTGAGGCTGTTTTGAGATATTGTCAAACAAATTTAGATGTAGGTAGAACATGACTTAATTCTAAAGGAGCATTGCAATGGGAAAGCACCAAGCATCAGATCTATAAGTATCTCAAAAGAGGGAGAAAAGGGCTGTTTATATGGAGGAGCAAACAACATGAGAAGGAAGGTGGGAGGAAGAGCGGAGAATGGCAAGATCAGAGTCAGGCTTAGGGAATGTTGCACCCAAAAGGCAGCCTGTTCTTAGGAGGGGTAGAAACAGAGTTTGTATTTTGGCTCAGACTGAAAGCAGAGCAGAGTCCGGGAAGCTGGGGAAAGGAGAGAAACTTATGCAGTGTATTTAACAGGTATTTTGTTCTGAACACTGAAGACAAAATCGTTTATAAGGTGAAAATGAAAAATTAGAGAGTTTGTGCATTTGTGACACCTAAAAGAGGAAGGATCATCTAAGTCATAATGAAAAGGGTATTTGCTGTAAACTCTTTCTGCAGAACACAAAGGATGGAGAGTTCTTAACCATGCCTGTTTACCAAGATTGACTACCCACCCCATCCTTTTCCCCACTTTACTCTGTCCTCTACAATTTTTTTTCATTTGATTTTTCTGAGGTGTATCCTATATAATAACCTGGTAAACATAGGTAAAGTTTCTCTGCTAAGTTCTGTAAGTAGTTTTATTGAATTGTTAAACTTGAGCCAGGGAGTTAGGAAAGCCCATGATTTATGGACAGAAATACAGATGGAATTGCTGGAACCCAGAAGGCAAAGTTTGCAGTGAGCTGAAATTGTACCAGTGCACTCCAGGGTGACAGAGTGAGACTCTGTCTCAAATAAATAAATAAATATTTTAAATAAAATCTTTTAAACATTTTAAATAAAATCTTGTTTTAACCAATTATTGTTTGTTTTCATGCAATTTTGTTAATATAAAAGACCCACCTCTAGAAAGACTATTGTGATTTTCTTCTTACTCATATCCAACTAAATTATACCACCCTGTTTTCTAAAAACAGCAACAACAACGTTACTATTAACTAATCTTATTACAATTTACATAGATGATTCACAACATGCTTAGCCTTTCTGTTTTGCCTAAATATTATCTTTCTTAAACAACCTGGTCATTTTATTTTAGGACAAAAAATTTACCACATGAAATTCCTTCTTACATAAAATTGCTTTTTTTTCCACCTTCTTTATCAAAAATACCTCTTTATATCTTTAACTTTCTTTACATCTCATATTTCCTGGTTCCTTTTACCTCATTTTATACATAACTTTTATGGAAGGTTTGAATTAGACAAAGATAATTTACTTTCTAATAAGAACGTTTAAAAAATGTTTTCTTACATTTTTTAAATTGGAAATTACCCAGCTAGTTAATATCTGTTAATAACCATATATGCCAAATCATATGACATGTATGTTGACAACCATTTATTCCATTACATTTACAAAATTATTTAATATTTTATCTAGATTATGAAACTGTGATAGTTTTCAAAGTAAATTCCCTGTTAACCATTTTTATTTCAGGAGCTTAAGTAATTTTCTTTATTTTTTATTTTTATTTTTTGTTTGAGACAGTTTTGCTTTTATTGCCCAGGCTCACTACCACCTCTGCCTCCTGGGTTCAAGTGATTCTCTTGCCTCAGCCTCCAAGTAGCTGGGACTACAGGCACCAGCCACCACACAGGCTAATTTTTTGTATTTTTAATAGAGAGAGGGTTTCACCATGTTGGCCAGGCTGATCTTGAACTTCTGATGAGGTGATCGGGCCTTCCTCGGCCTCTCAGAGTACTCGCGAATAACAGGCGTGAACCACCATGCCCAGCCTGTTTAAGCAATTTTCTTAGGGATAAATATAAGGGTATTTTTACCAATAACTCAGAATGTAGATATTTTCTTTAAATCAAATTATTCCATGTCTTATTTATCAAAAATTACACAAGCGAAGATCATTCTATCTTGGGCTGGGGGTTTTATAGTTTTATAACCCTTGTAACAAGTCTTATAGTATTCTGCAGGCGTAAGCATGAAATCACTTGATCAACAAATGCAAACAAAAATGCTGGAAATTATTACAGCATTTCTAATATTTTTTAATAACTTGAAAGCCAGCTTATTTATAAAAGATTTTACTCAAGTCACATACATGTGATAAAGCATTTGTCTATTCTTATTGATAAAATGGTTGATTTACATACTTATATTTTTATTTAAGTCAATGAATTAGAGCTTTCCATTTATAGTAGAGAAAAATTGCATACACAAGACATAAATACATAAATCTATTAGGCATGCTGACAGAAATATGTCTTACAGATTCATAAGACCTCTTTTTTCTATCCTTGAGAAATTTTTTTGTATTTGCATTTGTATATATTTTTTTTATTTAAGTACGTTTTTGGGGAACAGGTGTTTGGTTAGACCACAACAAAATCACCACCACAAAAAAAGGTAGTTCTTTAAATTTTATTTCAAAATGAATAATTGAAATGATTTTGCTGTTTTTATTTAAAACACTTGGTACTAGTGCTGGCTTGGTATTGAAGAAATATTGATTGAGCATTTAATATCACATTATTTGGAACATATGTAGAAAATGCTTTCTGCTTTCTTGTTCTTTAGTGGCAAGTTTTGAGATTTTGGTCCACCCATCACCTGAGCAGTGTACACTACCCAATGTGTAGTCTTTTATCCCTCACCCACCTCCTACCCTTTCCCCCAAGGCCCCAGAATCCATTGTATCATTCTTAGGCCTTGGCATCCTCATAGCTTAGTTCCCACTTATGAGTGCAAACCTAAGATGTTTGGTTTTCTGTTCCCTGGTTACTTTACTGAGAATAATGGTCTCCAGTCTCATCCATTATATTCCTTTTCATGGGTGAGCAGTATCCAGGGCATCAGTGAGGTCTAGGGAACTCCAAGGCTACTGAGAGTAGGTGGGATAGAGACATGGGTGAGAGTGGATAATCCTTATTCCCTAGGGCCTCCCTGCTTCATGAATGCAAGCTGCTTTGGCACCTATGGGTGGCACCTGCCAAGGTTGCTGGGACTCAGGGATGCAAGGACAGAAGAGGGAAAGAGGACCCCCTTCTCTCCCTCACATACCCAGGGTGTATCTACTAGGAAGAGAAGGGAACCAGGTGTGCCGGCTCCCCTGTTTTTAGATGGGTAGCCACCCATCTTGCATCTGTACCCCTTTGAAATGCATTGTGAAACCCTGGGATGCCTTTGAAAAAATATCTTTTTCTTTCTCCTCTTCTGTCCTCTCTTCACAGAGAGGTAATTCTGTCTCTATACTATGAGACACTTTCCTCAGATGCATCCTCCAAACTGAGAAAAGTTAATTTTTCAAACCTTAAACTGGTTGACTTAGGATTGGGCTCAGGGGAAGGGAACCCAGAAGCAAAACATGCTGGCCAAAGGGTCAAGTGTGTTTTTGTTTTTGTTTTTAAACCAGTGGGGTTTTTGGCCTCCCTGTGCAAACTGGTAAAAGGCCTTGGGATTTCTGAGCGGTCCTTACCCCTCCCCTTGTTTTGATTCGCTTCGATTTGTTTTGTTTTGTTTAAGACAGAGTTTCTCTCTTGTTGCCCAGGCTGGAGGGCAATGGCGAGATCTCGGCCCACCAACCTCCACCTCCCAGGTTAAAGTGATTCTCCTGCCTCAGCTTCCCTAGTAGCTGGGATTACAGGAGCCTGCCACCATGCCCAGCTAATTTTTTGTATTTTTAATAGAGACAGGGTTTCACTATGTTGGTCAGGCTGGTCTCAAACTCCTGACCTCAGGCAATCCACCTGCCTTAGCCTCCAAAACGTGCTGGGATTACAGGCGCGAACCACCACACCTGGCTCATTTTGTTTTGATACATGTTTTCTAATAATCTGGTGTGTGTTGTCTCACCTTCAGCCATCAAACTTTGAATGGTCATGCAGCTGGAGCCTCGGACAATGACCCCTTCTGCCAGGGACCTTTAGATAGGCCTCAGAGGGGACTCTGAGTGCTGTTTTTCCAAAACTGCCCCTGACAGTAGGAAGCAGTGTCCTTATTCTAACAGCAATTGATGTACTTCTTTAAAGGGAGGAATGAGGCAGCTGAGTGTAAAGGGGTCATCAGAGAACCTCCATCAGGCCTGCACACTAGGAGTGAGCACTGGAGTGGAGCCTCGGGA